TGTCCACCATTACGTTTCATTCTTTTCTATCGTTGTGTCTTCCCTTCTCTTTGCCACTCATTTTCAATTTTTCCATGGTTCTTATTTCTTTTAGTAACTTCGTGGCTATTCCTTGGTTCTTGTTTCACGTGCTGGGGCATTAGACTTATTCTACACTGGCTCATTCCTCTAACAAAATAGAACAAATACCTTTAGAAATTGAGATTCACTCAGTTAATCAAGAAATTTATCTACCCATAAATTCATTATTTTGCCCACAACAGCTCACCACTGGTTCCTGCCCTAAGCCAGTTGATAACAGTCCAAAAAATTCTCAACCTCTTTAAAATATATTTTAATATTATCTTGAAATTCAAGCCTAGGTCTCCAAAATGGTCTCCTCCTTTCAGGTTTTCCTTCCAAAATATTCAATAAAGTTGATCCATTATATGAAAATATCTGGACACGACCTCCAAAAAACTACACTACGAAAAATTGTAAAAAATTGTAATTGAGTTTTAAATTTAATATAATTTTACACCTGATGATGGTTTAATAAAACCGAAACATGTTGTAACTGTTCCAATTGTAAATCGATTATTCGATATGGAACAAAGAATGATATTTTAATTATTTTAATTATCTTATTTTAAATACATTGTGATTTGACGGAATAACCAAATAATTTAATTTTAATTCCAAAATATTCATACACATAAGTGCATTAATATATGATATTACTAAATTTTACAAGTCTGTAGTTTTTAAATGAAATTAAATCAACTGGAAAGAAATAAAGTAATAAGGATATCAGATACTATAAAATATAAAATTTTAAGTACCACTTAAGATTTCAACTTAAGGTAAATCTTCGGCCTTTTTTCATAAAACGTGAAGTATTTACATGCAGTGTCCATAGGTTATTCAGAGAGTTGAATCTAACAAGTAAGTCCCTCGCTCAGCAAAACGTGAGTTGCAGCGAGGACTATGGAATTCTCCTCGGAGTTTTGTCGTGACTTCTATTATAGGTCTATTATCCATTGTTTCCACTCCTCCTTATGAAGTAGCTACTAACAGATTTGGATCCAACCAGTAATACTACGTATTGCTGTAATTCATCTTTACGTAAGAGTGATACAACTGACATGCAATTTATGTCAAGACCGCCTTATTTGTCTGTTCATTGCAAAGTGACTGCGATGGCGGAGATCAAGGTCCACACTCTGCACGAACACAATTCATTTCTTTTGTTCCACATCCAGTTTACAAGAGGCTGTTTTCCGGGGGGGATAATGCAGACGGAGCGCGAGGTTGGCATAAATTTGAACTAAATTTTAATAAATATTACTTGAACATAAACTGCTCCCAATTTCTTCCTAAAAGTGATTTAGATTTTTTAATAGAATCTATCTTTATATTCCGTATATATTTCGTACTGCAATTTATTAATTAAATACAAATAATGCTTTGTTTCCTGTGCACTTATTTATAAATAATACATAATAACAGAATCTTTTTATTAAATTTAATTTTTCGCCACATAAATATAATATCATGAACATAGACAGAAAGCTTACATGTTCTATTCAAGTTAAATATCTCCCGTGTTTCTTAAATTTTACTGACGACGTCTGATAAAGCTAAATTTCTACCCAGCTCGTTCGCCCAACCTGTCGACTTACGATTCCTTTTTATGGGACTACATGAAAATCCAAGATTTTCATCCGGCAGACTTCAATGATCTCAAATAGAGAATTTATGAATAAATTAATTCCACACCACCGTCCATGTTAATGCACTTAATGGAAAGTGTTACGAATCGAGTGAATCAGTCTTGACAGACGACTTCGGACGGGTGTTATTTTTAAAAAGTAGCTTCGGTATAACGTTCTTCAACAAAAACAAACATTTTTATTTAAGTTTAAAAATTAAATACCTTATGTCTGTATTTCTTTAATTTTTGAAGAGTATCCAAAAAAAAATATATCTCCGAACCAACCCCTGATAATCGGGAGTAAAGTCACTTCAGTCCTGTGCCCGAGAAAAACAATTCGCCTTTAATTACAATTCCTTTGAAAAGTGGGAACGAAGAGGGAACACCTGAAGGAATATTGATGGTTTTATCACCTAATTTCTCCAAGCTGCTTTAATATATATAACATACTTTCAACCTTCATATTATTAGATCAGGCAGAATTTAATAATTTCAATCGTAGTTTTTATTATGCGTGTAACACGAGTTCTACTGTTCATTTCCTCTCCAGTTTGACCACAAAGAAAATTTATGGTTTAATTATGACGCTCTATTAGATTGTAGCGCCGTGTGGTCTGGCAGAAGTTTATCGACGTTTCAGTGATACTTGCTGCCTCAGTCATCACCCTAATGTTGGCGGTAGCAAGGACCACCGAAACGTTGGTAAACTTCTACCAGACTTCCACAAGGCGCTACTACCAAGAAGACAGAAATTTTCGTGGTCACAGCCTTGATAACCTCAAATCCTAGTTTTTGGCTTTAGTATGATTCTGAGATTAAACAACCTTTGTTTGCATAAACAATATTAACCCACTGTTATTTTTAAAATAGATGCGCTGTCTTTGATTTGGGAAGACATTTTCAAATAGACAATTATTTAGACGAACTTTGTATTTCAAACATTGGTTGGTTATTAAAATACCATAAACATTGTACAGTAGCAATTTCTAATGTGTATATTACAAAATATATAAAATGTGTCACTAAAGTTTAGAAATAATTTTCGTCGCTGAAAACTTGACATCCCGGGAACATAAGTAGCTACTACGAAGCTTGGTTTAGAGACTACAAATGAAGTTTTATGTCCAATATGTATTCAGAATTCACAGTGGAAAATATGAATGACAGGCGTTACTTGAAGTTTGAAATAAATTCATTGTTTAAAACCGATAAATAATTAATAATAAAATAATACTAGCGGCTGTGGTTACTACGTTTATATTTTCACTCCACAACACGATTCACACCCCCCAAAAACGAGTACGTAAATACGTAAACACAAGTTACTTTGAAACCTAGACTTTTACTAAATATTTGAGATTTTAATGTCATATTTTAAAATTAACTGATTAGCAGTACTTAAAGATAAAACACATAGCTATATACCTGCAGAATTTTTCAGTGATTGTAAAAGTTGTTATCAAAAGAATAGGCCAATTTCAAATACATTAAAAATGTCCTTGAAATTAAAGCAGCTTGGAATATACAAAATATAATCGAACACATTAATACGTTTCGTCCGGACAAATTTTGCTGTATTTTACATAAAAGAAAAAAAAACACAATATATTTTGCCTCTTGTCAAATATACAGGTTACAGCTATTTCACATTTTTCTTCAAAGACACTTACAATATACTTATTATTATTACCTATATTTTATTTTTTTAATATCTTGTTTTCAATGCTTCATTTTCGTTACTGTTGCCTCTCACATATATTTCGTAGAAATACTTTATGCGTACATGTTCGTGTTCATCCTTCTCTACAAGAAAACACTTATCATTTTATTTATTAAAACAAGGAAAGCGCTTCAAAATATAATTATCTTCTGGAAAAACTTGTGACGATTAGCCGAGACTTCGTGTTGCAAATATTTTAGTGTCCCATATTTATATAATAATTATAATATATATAATTTTTTACAGTACATAAATAAGACCACTTTCAAGGAAACCACTTTCATAACAACTGAAAACGAGAAGAACAGCATTTTATTTTTTTGTGTCTTTCGACTCGATTAACTACCAAAATAATCAGTAACAATCACATTGTTACTTCTACCAGGCCAATGAGATAGAAACATAAAATACGTATTCATTACAGAAAATAATTTTTTGCACCCATTTTTAAAAACGGTTTTTATTTATCTAAATTTGTAATTCTGTCCTGATGTTCGTATTTCTTTTCTTGGCGGCAATGATCTGAGAAAAGCATTTTGTGTATCGATAATTATATTAAAGGAATTAAAATAATAATACCCTGTTTCGTTGGAATACAGTTATGCGGATATGTTGCTATATTATATTGTAATGTATTCCGAATTTTAATTCTGACTTCCATGTTTCATTTAGAGAACTATTTAAAACTGATATGTGCCATACCTATGCTTATATGAAGGATGAAATTTCAATCAGAAGCAGAAAACAGACGGGGAGAGCTTTAAAAAATTCGTATGACGACTAATAACTGTATTGCAATTTAATTATGCTTATTTAAATAATTTTACAATCAAGTCGTTATGTAGCTACATTGTCTCTACACTTCATTGTATAATTTCATCATTATATCTTGTCCATTTTGTAAATAGCTTCTCGATAAATATCTAAAATTTTAATTTCTTGGCAGAAAAGAGACAGACAATAATTTAATTTCTACTGAAAATAATGAAACATTTGCAAGATAATTCTACTGACGCACTAATATCTGTGTATTTTGTGTATAATTATATTTTTCTGATGTTAGAATGTATTTTTTTCAGTTATGTTTCGTTTTATTCATTTCGACTGGAAAATAGAACTCTATCTGTGACAACACAAAGGAAAAAATATTTAACAGCATAACATTCAGTTCACACATAACGTTCACATAACATATGACATGCATTCGTCTTTTTTTTTGAATTGTTCATCTGGCGTGCTGCCAACCGCCCAGCAAGGGAACACGTACACTGATATTTATTTTATAACTCCCTATACTTTACATTAGTTATAAAAGAGAAATTAAAGGTTACCGTAAAATATTCGTTTTGTTAACGCATTTCCTGTGTAAAATTAGAAATATTACTTACTTCCTCTTAATAAAACAATTGTTTCTTACTAGACAAACTTTTATCGTAATATCAGGGGCCAAGTTGTATCTGTTTATTAACCGATCACACGAATACATTGTGAATTTGCCTGAAAATTTTTAAAAAAAAATTTATTTAAAGTACAAAGTAAGAAGTGAAGCCAGAACAGAGGCTGAGTGTTAGCTGTGTCAGCCCGGCTAACACATTTGACACATTCCGCCCCCGGAAGCAACAATACCAATTCTTCACAACACTCATTTCGCTCTAACTTTTGGAAACGACAAGTTTACTACAGCTTCAGTAAATTTCAATATTGCGATCGGTTTCAAAGAACATAAACCAAAAAGAACAATATTATTATTTATACCAGTAGGCAGTATCACGTCGTGTTTAAACAGCAGTTTTTCCGGTAAAACCGTTCCAGTTGCTTTTAACATTTTATTTTGGTCTGTTCTTTATTTAAATATTACCTTCACACAACAGTTTATTCTATGAGATGAAATCAAAACTGTGATTTTGTCAGTTTGTACAAATAGGTACACACACACACACACAAACACACATACTTACAGACACAACAGTATTTATATTACACGTTTTGTAAAAACGTTCATTTAAAATCGTATTACTACTCCCATATTACAAACAGGGATAAAATCTTCATCACATACATGTGTTCGTTATCTGTAATTAAGGACGGTAACTCAGAAGTCCAACGAATAAAGAGACATCTACGATAAAAATGGGAAACATCACTATTAATGACAACTGTAGATGCTCATTTTATTAATTTATTGTTAAAACTTCCACAATCATAACTCTTGTCACTTTACTTTCAACAAAATTTCTCTTTAAGAGGTGACTCTGATTGTCTTTGTATTTTCACAAGCACAGAAACAAGAATTGATTTATGTCGTTACAACTGAAGTTCGTCTCTCATTACTTATATTATAATAATATATTCTCGATTTTTTTTTTTTCATCTTCGTTAAACCGCTGGCCAAACACTGAAACAAGGAGAAAAGCAAAATGTCAGTGACTCGAATGTTCCATCTTCTCTTCGTCAGTTTTTCGGCCTTTACTCACCATAAACAATTGATATTCTGCACCACTAGAAGTTAAGGACGGACAGAATTATACCAATTTACGTGCTGCTAAAGAACTCGGGTCTACTTTTATTTCGAAGAAGTGTCACGAACGTGATGAATTGCTTTACAAGTAAGTGGCTGGACCACTAATCCTTGCCATGTGCTGTTCACGTGGTTACACGAAACATTAAATGATTTTGTTCTGCTGCATTGTTAGCAGCAAGTGACACTTTCAGATTGTTACGTGTGAAACATTGGTGAACGTTCATAAAGTCAAACAAAACGGCACAAAACGTTTTTTTTTATTAAGACCTGTTTTCGGAACCTGCATCAGAAACATAAAGGCTCTTTCATTGCAAAAATAAAGAAAGGCAAAGTCAGAAAAGAAAACGAACGTAGTAACTGTTTGCCAATGAAACACATTTTGGTGCAATATTGATGTTATTACTTCCCAGGCCAACAATATTCATACAATACGAATGAAAACAGAAGAACATTGCCTAACCTAACCTAACCTATCCTAACCTAACCTAACCTAACCTATCCTAACCTAACCTAACCTAACCTATCCTAACCTAACCTAACCTAACCTATCCTAACCTAACCTAACCTAGCATAACCTAACCTAACCTAACTTCTAAGATAGATAAAAGCAGTGTGATATTAACGGAGTTGTTCCCTTTAAAAATGCCAGTTTTATAATATGCATATCAAGCATATAGACTACTAGCACAGTATCACAAACATTCAAAGAAAAACACAAAATCAGCTAATAAAAGGAGAAATGACCAAGCCATTTAAGTGAAAACAATATATTAATGGCGTTTGGGAATGGGCAATTATTTAAAGCAAAGCTATTTTTAATTTGAACGAACGATCCATTTACGAAAACGGGCACTTGGATTTCAACAACTGCTTGTAAAGCAAATGTGGTGTCATAAATCTAATTGGTGCTCGAAGAACATAATTCAAAATACATAATTTGAAACGTTTGAGGTAGAACGAATAAAAACTGATCCAGCAAAGCGTAATATAAAATTCCTCTCAAGTTACACTGAACCACATATGCAAGATTCCATGACTCAAAAAAGGTCATTGCTACTTTTGTGAACTGTGTAAAAAAAAAAGAGAGACACTCACGTTAGAAGTCCTTGGTTCGCGTCTGGTTGGTACCAGGAGTACTGGGTCATGTAGCCGGGGTGTGTGTGGTGATGAGGGTGGTGTGCAGCTGGATGGTGTGCCGGCGCTGTCGGCTTCATATCCCAAGACACAACAGGCGGAGAACCTGACATCCCGTGAGGGGCTTGAGGCGACATGTCGCTCACGGGGGTTGAAGACGGCGTCGGTGTCTGCGGCTGGTTTTGGTGGCCTACGTGGGGTAGATACCCCCCTGGACTATGCTGGCTTCCGGACGAAGACCCACCGCCTCCTTTAAAAGATACAGACGTCTACACTTAAGTCTCGTGTTTCAGTCAACACCTGAGACACCCTTCACGCAAGTCCGTTGTCTGTTTGACGAGTGTCACAACCCCTGAGCCGTTAGTAATATTTGTAAAGTTAAAGCAATTTATCGATCAATTAAACATTTCGCCTTAACTAACGGTCTAAGGACATGTTCTTATGTGCCAAATGAAGATAGATTATAAGCTACACGCTCCATTACTGTAGAATAAGCCCTGGATAAGAGTTTTTATGAGCCCCAGAGCAGACCCGGACGAGTTAGAAAAAATAAAATCTTCATGTATCTGCCAAAAATAGGCTTAATAATGATTTTTCTTCTATATCTAAAATAATTATAACATTCACTACAAAGTAATATAATAAAGAAAGTAGGGAGACAACGTTTTTCATAATTTAGATCAAAAAGTTAAATAACATGAAAAAAGTTTTCGGTTAAGATAACTTGTAAAATTGGTACACACTTCACTGTCGACATAAAACTCTTAAAATGCAAGATTTTAAATCTAAGAATTATTTATAGGCATGTCATATTAGATTAATATCATCGGCTACATTCGCCATGCGATGTTGTTAATCAGTTACAGGTATATCCTGCCAGGTATCTAACAGGAAGCGTCCTCACTGACAATCCTAAGCCAATTCCTACTAGTAAAAATTATGGAATACAGTTCGTTGAAGCGAAAAGCAAGTTTCGTGAGTGGGGGACTTAACTACCAATTTGTACAAAAGCAGAGGAAGTTGACGAACACAATTCTATGAATGAAACCACTGTGGTTTGAATTTCCTATTGTTTTGTGAATGAATGCACGCCGTGAGGGAAAAGGCTTTACTCTGTCGTGGGACTCTGGTTTGGCTAATTCAAGATACATTCTTCACGTGTTTCAATGCAAGGGAAAGGAAGTAAGTATTTCGTTCTGTAATGACATATAATAGTGACATATGACCATAAATCATGGTCAGTAGATGTTCCATCACTTTGCACATTCAAATGAGTCTCTTTGAATAAAATGGTTTCAATGTTACAAAATATTTATCCGGCTGACTTCTAAGTCATGATTTGTAATGACAGAGATTTTCAGACTTCGTTTGACATCAACTTAATTAACATCATGTCTGGTTCACATGTGATCCATTACTCTGATTT